ACAAGAAGGGTGGGACTTTTGTGTATCCTTGCCTTGGCTCCAAGGATTGCAGCTCCCCCCCCATATACTTATGCCTGCTTTTACATGTACAGGTTATGTTCAAAGTTGACAACAGGGCACGCAGAAGGACTGGCTGTTCTGCTGTGTTGAGAGGTCGTTGCTCCTCTGGGGTTAGGAATGGAGAAACCAAAGGTGTATCACCAGGTGTTAAATGTTTAGAGAGCAAAGGTTTGTCTGAATTTAGTGAGATTTTGTTTTTTCTTTTCTTGAAGTTGTCTGTAAATCTTCCATGAGTGTAGTCCGAACTGCCAGTGACCCACTTGCTGAAAGCAGAACATTTTCTCATCAGGCTAATGGAGATATATTTGGTATGCAGCTATAGATGGATGTAGAGCTGGCATGATACAGTAAGTAGCTGGTATGCGATAACAGTACTCAAGCAGTCTGTCGATGGCAGAAATATAATGATTCTTCAAAATCTTTATTTGCAATTTAATTTATCTCTAGGGTTCTTCATGTTAGAAATTCTTAGTCCACAACAGCCTGGATGTTGGCTTTTATCTCTTGCTTATCACGTACACTGCAGATTCTCAGACAATGTTGCCTTGAAATGAGAGGATGTGACTAAAAGCATGCTGTTTATTTATATAGCTGTAATAACCTGAAAGAAGCAAACAGTGAATGACAGAGAGAAACAGAGATTTGTGTTCTGGGGACAGCACTAACACAGCATATGCAGGAGCTTAGCTACAGCTGCTTGACTGGTTTTCTGCCCGTCTTCTGCAGGCAAAACTTGGTTTTAACAGTAGAAGCCTTTGTGTAAGTTCACTTCTGAAAATGTTTGGAGCAACAGTGCGCTGTATTGTGAGTCTTTGCCATGGTGCCAAACAGGCTGCTGTAAACAAATATAGATATTTATTTGGAAAATAACTTGCTCGGTACTTTTGTTAACATTCCCTGTGTCCATGTGCTGCTTGTCCTTGGCACGTTAGCATCGCTGTGTCCACAGCTGGCCTTTGCCTCTGCACTTGCATATGGTCACGCTCTGGGAAGGACAAAGAGCTGAGCAAGTGTTGTCCCCTGCCCTGCGGTGGGATTCTGGAGGGGAGTGACTTGTCTGCTCTGGGGTGATGCGGAGACCTTTGATTGCCGTCGTTCTGGGGGTGCAGCTGAGCCACGCTGTGTGACAGCGGCTGCGCTGAAGGAAGGCAGAGCTGTTTATCTGCCTGCCTGCGCAGTGCAAATGGGAAGACTGATTATAAATAAACTGGGAAAACAGAATCCTTGCTTCATGTAGATGTCTGTTTTAAAAACTGTTCACAAGGGCCTGTCTTGTACCAGATGTCCTAGCACTGACTTTTGTAAGCCTTGACTTGTTTTTCCTGTCTTGTGACACCCCTCCTTTACACTCACTCCATGTGCTCTTTTTCTTTTGAGCCTCGGCCCCTGCAGCCTGGGGCTCCTTTTGTGCAAGAGGAGAAAGGTGAGGTGTCGAGAGGACAAAGGAGTTGTCCAGAACTGTTCAGCAGCGCCAGGCATTGAGCCCTGGCTGGTTTCTGCTGCTGGATGGAGAGCACCTCTGACTTGCACCTCCAGGGGAGCTACTTGTCTTCTGCAAGAAAAGACTCAGGCTGTGGGAGTTCTCTTGTGTAGACACCTACAAGTCCCTACAAGTCTGCACCAGCCATGACCCAGAGAGGCTCAGAGAATGTCAGTGCTTGGAGTAGGCTCCAGGACATCCTTGTGTTGAATATGACCTTGCTCTTCTCACCTAGGACTGAACGATTCGCTTCCCTGGCGTAGTCTTTCAGTTTTAATGTCAGTATACATTTGACACGACAGTGCATCTTCTGAGAGCACATCTATCACAGATGCCCACTACAGACCTGTGGGCTTCCTTCCCCTGTCCCCGTAGACCTTATGCAGCACATTGGAGCATCTGGGCTAAGGGCCTGTAGGATTGTTGTTGTTTTCCCATTCATTTTATGAACAGAAAACGTCTAAAATTAGAGGAGCTTAGCGCAGAGGGATACAGCTGCTGCTGAACAACCTAATGTAGCAATCAAAGGAGAGGCAGTGACCTTGGAATTCATTTAAATGTCTTTTTCATTGACCTTGAGAATTTAATGGCAATCCTCACAGGATTATTGAAAGGTAGGATAAATAATCATAGGAGAGATTAATTGATTTGCAGTGTGTAGATTGACTTCTAATTCGTATCTCCCATTTTCTGCAAAGGTGGGTGGAAGTAGGCTGTAGCAGAATTCTCGTAAAGGTGGCCAGAGAAGCATCGTTTATTGTGGGAGAAGCTCTTGAGATTCATTGTTCCTCTTTCAGATTCAATTTAATGTGGTGGGTTTTTTTCCAGGCTGGTGTATCGTGCTGTCCTCTATCGGGGGAAGAACAAGCATTGCATTATAAAGATTTGAGGACTTCAGTTTGCATTTAAGTGCCTTTAAAGACTTGATCCCTTTTCCCCTTTATTTTAAGCATAAGTGAGTTAGCTTTGTAGCAGTCAGTAGTGCTGTGTCTATGTGATGTTCGTGAAAGAACTCAGAACAGTGACGTTTCATATTCTGGGTATCTGTCTTCAAAATATTACATGAATTTCAGATGCTTTGGATTGTTTTTTATTTCCTGGGCAAAGTATGCCTAGCTTGTTTCATTGGGGTTTTTTCTCTGCATAGGGTTGTGAAAACTCAGGTTATTTGATGCTTTTGGTTGATCATATCTAATATTAGTGATTGCGGAATATAGTGCAGATTGCGTGGATACCGTATCTAGAGCAGAGTACGAAGCTTGTTCTTGGCTGCAGGATGCAGTCTGTAAAGCCTACCAAGGTGATGTTACCCCTGCAAAAAAGTGGGGGTTTTGTACAAACTTGAGCTGGCTAATTCAGAGAGGTTCCCGGGTATCTGAGCTGGGACTTGAGATGTTCTTTGTTTAGAAGTGAGGAAGAGCACGAGATGAATAAAGTTCCCTGGTCCTAAAAGGAGAAATAAATCAACTCGGGCAGATGTCAAAGGGAACTGTCATCCCCTTCCACAAAGCCATATGCCTGCAAGTTTTCTGTGGGTGGCAAATAAATCATTTTGCCAGGCTCCTTCGTGCTCTTAACCAAGACAAGCAGTGCTGAGACAGTAATTCTTCCTCAGCCTTTTCCAGCTTCTTCCTGAATTCACCTCTGAAGCGGTCACGTCAATCTCCCAGCTTGGTTGCACGTGCTCCCACCACCGTGTACAACCAAAGCAAAGCTTCCTCCCTGCTGAGATCCCCTCGTTCTGCTGCTTCTACCACATTAAAGCATTGGTTTTGCTCAAAGAAGGACATGGGGCTTTTTAATGCTACAGTCACTGTGCAGATGACTAAGTGGCATGGACCTTAGCTTGTGTTTGAACTGGAGTTCGGTCTGGGATCAACCATTTGGGTATTTGCTGTAATTCTCAGGTGGGATTTGCAGTCTTTATTCAAATGTATCCACCTGGTGTTATAAACGTGCCCTGAAAGTGCTTCATGGTGTGCTGTGGTGGTTGGAGCTCTGCTGAAGTCCCTGTTTGCTGAACGCTCTTTGATTTGTGCTGTATAGAACATGGTTGTCTGGTTGAGTTCAGGCTTAGGTTTGCATCTGCTGGCTTCAGCAGTCATCCCATTAGAGGGAATCAAAGCAGCATTGAGAGTCAGAGTCCTTGGTTTATTTTCTTTTAGACAGTGCTTTAAAAATAGCCCCAGCCCTGCTGCCCATACACCTCAGAAACGGCTTTTGCTGAAGCTGCATTGAAACAGATTTCTAGCTGTGTTTTGTGATATGACTTTCAAAAGCTCAGCAAAGTCTGGGCTTTCAAGTGCCCGTTCCAACAGCAACAGCTGAAGAAAGAAAAGCTGCCTGCTGCTGCAAACAGGAGGAAGGAGCGCAGCGACGGATTGCGCCGAGATTACGTTGCGCTGGGGCAGGCGAGTGCCGGGCGTCTGTGTCCGTCTGTGCCCCGGAGCCGGCCCTCACCCTGCCTCCGTCCCTGCCTGGGTGTCCACCTCGGCCACTGCGTCCGTGCCTGGGTGTCCACCTCGGCCGCTGCGTCCGTGCCTGGGTGTCCACCTCGGCCGCTGCATCCCTGCGCTGACTCCGCGGGGAGCTGTGGTGGGAGCTGTGGCCATGGTGGTCCCAGGGACACCCGTGGTGTGGTGGGGAGGACGGGCTGGCCCACTGCCCGGCATCGCAGCCTCACCTCATCCAGAACGTTCAGCGTGCCGCGAAGCCATTGCGCCGCCTGAAAGCAGTTTAATTTACACGCAGAAAATTTATTTTAAATCTGCTTTTCTCGCTCGTGCGTTCGTTTTACTTTATTGTAATGTCAGCGCTTAGCAGTGAAGTAACGGCAGATCTCTGGAGAACTTCGCACAAGCGAGAAAGCACCATTATCTCGGTTTTACAGGCCCTGCTTATGTGGAGAACATATGTGGTGGTGTAATTACACTGGTGTGATTAAATCAGTGCAAAGCCTTGCTGGAGGGACATGCTGCACCACTGTAAAGCAGGGCTTATTATCAGTGCAGTTTAATTCAAATTACATTACTCAATTAAGCTGTGCTAGCATAAGCCTGAAGTCAGGAAATCACATGAGGGCCTGTGTTGTTTCGTTTTAAAGCAGATAAAGATTTGGAAACTGAAATGGGTGAGGTTGTGCCTCACCCAAGAGCATGCTGGAAGCGAGGGGCTTGACGAGTACTGTGTTTACAGTACTTTCTGGGAGTAAAGAGGTGTGGGTGTGAATTCAGGGGTTTTATTATTATTTTTTTAATAGATTACATTATTTGTTTAAACCATAGTGACCACTTTGGAAAAGATTCTAAATCATACTAAGGCTTTACAAACAAATTAAGTAAAATGAATACTGATTTCTAGTAAATCTCTGCCACATGATGTTGGATTTTGATAATGGCTAGATGGGTCAATGAATAACCATGATGTCTACAATTTAACTGGATTTTTTTCTTTTTGGCAGGGTGTGGGCACTGCAAGAAAATGAAGCCAGAATATGAGAAGGCTGCAGAGTTTCTCCATGTAGCCAGTGATGTAAGCTAATTTCCTTTATTATATCCTTCAAATAATCAGTAATAAATAACTGCAGTAATAAAAATGACTTTTCTCCCTACAACAAATTCAGCTGTTCTCATCCTCCCACAGGACCCTTCAAAATGTGCTTCCAAAGTACAGTCTCATCGCTAATGCATGAGCCCTGCCAAAGTCTTAGAAAGAACATTCTGTCTTGAACGAAAACAAAATCGAAAAATGTTTATGTATTCTGCTGTAGGCCTTATACATAATATGATCAAATCCAAAATGTTTTTGGTTTGGTTTTGGGTTTTTTTTTTGCCTTACTAAAAGGCATGGAATGTGAAGAAACATAGGCTTTTATTTATGAATTAGCTTTGGAAACAAACAAATGGGGTTGATCTCTCTTTCAAATACCCTGGTTTTATGGTTGCATCACTCCATTAGCTTCATCTTAAGTGCTCCATCAGCATGGCTGGAGAAGAGAGATCCAATAATATAAGTATTAGTGTTATTGATTCAGTCTCACGCTGTGTACTCCATGCAAGTAGGATTAGTCTCCCCCGTACTTCAAGCATCTTTGGTGGAGACGTGTAGAGTGCCTTTGTAGTTGCTGGAGAAGGAGGAAGAGATGAGAAAAACAAAGAGCAGATGAATCACACTCTACAAGTGTCTCTTCTCCTGTGACTCTAAAGGTGGTCCGTGTAAAAGTGCCCACAAGCTAGGGAAAGGAAGTAAGCTTGTCTTTAACGATGCTTGTTTCTGCTGGGAGAGGTGGGGTTCTGTGGGAGGAAATGCCATTGCTGGAGAACAGGTAACCCTGGTAGTCCATAAGATGTCCCTTCCTGGTTTTGCGTCAGTCCTTTGTGTCTTTCTGTGTGCCTGTGCTGAGTACCTGAGAAACCGGAGGCACCTAGATTGTGAGTGATTGCCCCCAAGTCTGCTGTTCCCTGCCAACGGAGGGGGGCTGTGTGTGTTGCTGGGATTTACAGTTAGTGTCCTCCGTTTTAGAGTCCGGGTGTCCTAGCAGCAGTCGATGCTACCGTCAACAAGGCGCTGGCAGAAAGATACCACATCTCAGGGTTTCCTACTTTGAAGTATTTTAAGGATGGAGAGGAGAAATACACTCTGCCACACCTCAGAACAAAGAAAAAGATCATCGACTGGCTGCTAAAGTAAGTTTTGAGGGTCTGAAACAGTATTCGGCTTCCTAGTTATTGGCTCCTGAAGGCTGCTTTGGTGAGGAAGGGAATCTTAAACCGAGCTGCATTGACTGCCTAAATCTCTCGCTTACAAAACCAAATTGAATTCCAGTATTCAAAGCCGTACAAACACCTATGTTAATTATGGTCTCTAATACACCAAATCCTTTGTTTGCTGCGGGGTTTTTCATAGTTGTCCCAGTAATTCTCTCCCAGAATAATTATTTTCCAAATATACCCTAAGCCTCTCACCAGAGAAGGAATAGCAATGGCTCTGAAAAATAAACAGAACATTTGTTGTTCTCTCTTTCTACTAAGCAGCAGATTTCACTGTTAGTAACTGAATTTCTGCAGTTCTACTTTTCTCTTTCCAGCATTTCAGAGCCAATGCCTAGAATACCAGCTGCACGGGGCTGAAGGAAAGTCAGCGAGACCAGCGAAAACATCACCTTTGTCTGCACTAACTGACTTTTCTTGGGTGGTGTGCTAAAATATGCAGAATTAAGTTCCATGTATGATGAAAATAATTTCATTTCAAAGAAGTAAATTGCTGGTACAGTTCTTTCTCTAACTATTCTGGAATAAACTATGCATTTCCTTTAGGTACTGTAAGCCTAATGTACTTTTTGCATTATTCAATGGGAAAAATAACTGCCAGTGTTTTGTGAATTTTTTAAATCGTTTAACCGCTAAGCACAGTTGGCGTGAGGAATGTAATCTTATTTTTTACCCTCTTATTTGATGGGGGCTTTTTGGTTGTGGTTTTATTTTTCTTTTCTTTTTAAATTACATCTCTGGAGTGCTTCAAATCAGGTGATCGATATGGTCTGGCAGCATCTTTGTAGCATGTTGGGAGGTTTTACCTGTACTTCACATGTAGACGCAGTACTGCCTTGGCCTCCCTGCATACTCCGTCTCCAGGCTGCTGTGTCAATACTGGGTGTTAAGTCTCTGTCCTAGTTTCACCAGTTTGCTGGAGTATTTTGAGCGCTACGCAATTTATATTGAGTTACACAATCAGCTTGATGCTGCCTGTAGGTATTGGCAGGTGAATAAGCAATGAGGAAGGGGAAAGGGGTGTTAATCCCTTCTGGGTCCTGCTATGCCTCTGAAAGACTCCTGTCTGCAGCCTCACGTAGTCAGCAACACTGGGGAAACCCAGACAGCTTGTCTCCTGCTCGACTGCTGGATGTTCTGCCAACTAGAGATGCAGTAGCATAAGATCCTTGTTTGCTGACCAGGGATAAAATTGTCACAGCTGCACTGAAGTTGGTGGAAGTAGGGGTGCAGGCTGGAAATAGAAGTACGGTCCCAGGGAGGGGTTGAGTTTCAGCCGCGCGGGTTTCGGCTCTGGTCCCTCTGTGGTGACTGTAGTCTGTGCTGCCACACTGGGTTGTTACCAGTATCTGGGTAGCTGATTTCAGGTCCGCATGGGAGGGTCTATGTGAGATGAAGTCACACCTCTGACTGTAACTGTAATCGATGATAGCTCACACCGACTGTGTTCGTGTGAAAATTCAGACCAGCTGCCCTAATTCTTTTGCTAAAAACTGACAAATCAGTATCAATGGAAATACAATAGATGTCCACCAAGTGACCTTGAGTAGGACTTTAAAAATGGAGTTTTTCCTCCACTTGGTTTTTATGTACCTGATACAACTTAAAATGGTGTCATTTGAAGTGACAGGAAAGTCTGAAAAGTTAATTTATTACCAAGGCGACATATGAAGGTCTTTATACAGTGGCACCATTCTGATGATTTTATATAAATAATCACTGTTTAAAAGCAGGAATGAATTTAATGAGTCTGAGAGAAGTCTGTGAGCTGGTGAATAGCAGAAGTTTTGTTAGAGGCGCTCTAGATGTGTGGGATTGCTCTGATCTAGTCAGTATGTGCAGTCGTAATTGAAACCTGACATTCTCTTTATCAAGGTAAAATATTCCAGTTCAGTCACCCCCAGTCTTCCAAGTGGAACAATGCTGATTATTGCATCCTGGCTTTAATACCTGAATTCAAGAGAAGGTCATGAAATTCTTTATAGAAGTTTGCATGATAGTGATAAATAGTACAAAAAGGATGTTTGAATGGAAGATGCTGTTCTATATCGGTTGCCTTTTGATTCCACTTGATTGCTGTTCTTCTCAGTTCATGCCTATGGATGACACAGTGACACAAGAGCACTGTTTTTTCCACCCAGATTTGGATGCAATGTAGGAAATCTTTATTCTGCATTCCTACTCATATGCCTGAGTACGATCGCTTAAATTATATTTTTATTGAGTTCCAGAAATGAACTTGCATCTTTTTTGTTGTTATCTGGTGTTGGAAATATCGAGCACGTTTTTCTGCTGCACAGGCACCCTGAAGGATGTTTGACCTCAGCTCCTTCATGGTAGGAAGGACGTGATGCCCCTTTGCCTGCTTCCAGAAACATTTTCAAACTAATCTCATTTCCTTACTTTTCTAGTCCTGAAGCACCACCTCCACCTGAGCCTGCATGGGAAGAAAAACAGACGAGTGTTATCCACCTTGCTGGAGAAGACTTCAGGGAGTCCTTGAAGAAGAAGAAGCACACCCTTGTCATGTTCTATGCACCATGTGAGTAAATACCTCTCTACGTGGATGGGTTTTATAAACCCTACGGTTTTGTGAAATCCCGAATTAATTCCCTCCCTGTCCCCAGACCTTTAAGGGTAACGACCTGACTCAGAATATAACTGCATGGGACCATCTTTGGCACCATTGTTTGTGTCTTTATGAATGGAAACAAAACAGTATACAGTGTTTACCGAAAGAGTTATTACATTAATGCAGACACCAAAGCAGACAGGGCTACAAAACCAAAACAGATTTATTTTCCTTGGCTGCAATTTATGGTCCATATAACAAATTGTGATTGTTTATAGTAGCACAATGGACATGGAGAGCCTGACTCATTAGTGCAGCACTTTAGTAGTGAAATCAATAGAGTGATGTGGGAGGAATCAGTCCCCAGAGGCTGAGAACAAATTTTGATGGAATAAAGTTTGTCTGTAATAAATCTACATTTAAATCTCCACTGGGAATATGGGCATAGCTTCTTCCTCCCAGACTGTTTTGCGTGCATCACACGCACGCTTTCTTTTTGAAGCTGCTGAGAATATTTCTAGAGACGTTTTGAATCGGGCCCTTTATAAATTAGGTGAACAGAGGGACCTCTTCTGTTTTCCTGTGTTGTCCCAGAGACAGGCAGATGTGGTACAGGTTCTTAACTTTTGAGGGGTCTGTCAAAGGGAGAAGATAATCCTGGCTCTTAACATTAGATAGTATTAACTTGCTTTTATAGCACCATGACTCAGCCCACCCAGATGCAGGAATAATTCTTCCCTATCACATGGCCAGCCCTGCAGTTCAAGGGTAACCTTCAGATAAGCAGTTACTAACTTGTACCCATTAAACTGAAGGTATTTTCCAGAAAGGGAGAAAAAGCTCAGGTCCTTAATGTTTAATCAGGCAGCCCCTCATTTTGCTTTTCTGTTAGAGAATTAAACATGAATGCTTTTGGGCTCCTGCAAAGCCGTGCTGGATATGGGATGTGGGAGAAGGGAGGGGTGCAATTCAGAGGGGAGGTTTCTGGAAGGTTGTAAAAGAAAAGGGAAGGGGACTTAATCCCTTCTCAACTCCAGTTCCCACCATCTATTAACTAAAAATTGCCTATGTGCCAGGAATTTCTGATTCACGGACCTCAGCTGGGTAAGAGCAAGCCATAACTTTAAAATCAAATGATTGCACACAAAATGGTAAGATTTAGGAGTTCGCCATCTCTTGAGTTCTCTTCACCCGATGAGTGACTTTCCGTGGAAGAGAGATTTATTTCCCTTTTGGATTTTACCCACATCTTTTTAAGGCACTTAATTTCTTGGTCTTTTTAAGGTCGTGTTTAAAGCAAAGACACTACGTGCAGTGAGTATGCGGCTCTCGGTTGAAAGCATGGGGCAACTTGCCTGATGGGCCAATTATGATACTGTTGCTTGCAGGTTGACCTCTACCCTTACACCAGAAGGCAAGAATAAAGATCACTGTGGCCCTGTCTGAACGTGCAGGCTGTAAAAGCAAGGCTTGCATGATGTAAGCCTGTTGGGTCCTTTGGGGCTTCCCCTCAGCCAGCACCTTCTTGCACTGTTTTGGATACAGTGCTGCATGAGACCACCTATGTACAGGACAGCAAGGTGTTAACTGGAACCACTCCGGCCTTCCAGTGACTCCTGAGACAGTCAGCGTTGCTGTTGTCTTGTCTGTATGTGGGTCATGCACAGTTTCTGTTTTGTCAGATGTGTTCTCTCTAATCGTGGCCGTGTCTGTGTGCAAAGCCGAAAGCAGGCGCACAGAGGGAGCGCAGTGAGCCTGCCCGTCGCTGGGTGCAGGGGAAAGCAGCAGAGGAATATTTTAAATCCTCGGTTTCTGTGAAATAGTCATTAATGCAACAGAACAGTACAAATCATTCTATTTTTCTGCTTTTCTGCAGTGATAATGTGCTTCCTGCTATATTTGATAGATTAACTTTTGTTTACCATTTTCTCAATCTTGAGACCTCTTGGAGCTTACATTGCCAATTAGTCTTAACTTGCTTATTTTAGTGCAGAAGGAACACTGTTAAAATTGCCAGGCCCCATTATTTCAAATAATTTTCTTTTTTTATTCAGATCCACATCTTAGGTCAGTGCAGACTCACAGAATGTTACTCCATTCACTTGTGCCTCTATGACAGTATTTGTTACACTTAAACATATGCTGAGATATTTTAAGGTTGGGGGTGTGTGTATACATGCATATATAAAGTATGTTTATATATAAATATTTATGCTAAGAAATATATCTCTCATCTGTCATTAGAATTTAAAGCAGAAAGTTGAATATTCTGACCTTTGTAAAGCTTTCAGCTAGAGTGACAAACCTGTAGGCAAAGGCCACAGATATATATCTTACATGCAAATTAAAATGAGATCTGGCTTTTCTGTGGCTGCTTCCAGTCCAAATTACTCAATAGGTATAGGAGAACCATCAATCTGCTGCTATGCCGATAACTGTGGACTGAGCCAAGCGGTGCTTTAAAGGTGCTGAAGAGTACTTCACAGTGATTTAGCTCCGGAAGAGAAGACTGCTACATCCACACGGAAAAGATGGGGAACTCGTTACTCCATCACCCTGAACGTGGGTGAAGCGTAAAGGTTATTCCCAGTGCCTGTGGAATATTTTAAGGACTGATAATCAGTATCAAAACACTCAAAATTACTGGTGAAAAAAATCCCTTCCTGTGGACTTGACACACACAGAGACTGAAGTTCTTGATCTGGTTTCACATTCCCGTTCTCCTCAGTGGCCCCTCTGTGCGCTGTGAAGACTGATCTGCGGCAGGAGGCAGCAGTAGGGGCAGGTCCCCAGTACTGACTTGGGGCAGAAGTGCCAGCTGCAGAAAAGCTGATGCTATGTGTGCCAATAACTGCCTTGGACCTGATCTTCATCCGCATGTCCACTGGGGGTCTGTACCCTCTGTGCCCACCACGCCACGGAGGCTCATGGTGCAGGCTGGCACTTGTTGCTGCTTCTCAGGACTTGGAGCAGGCTGCTGGCATCTGTGTCGCGCAGCACCTGGCCCGGCTCCTCTCTGGACCCTTGCAGGGCTCTTGTGGTCCTGAGGTGTAATTGTCATCCCACTCCCTTACCTCTGAGTTCAAAGTGCCTGAAGTAAGAGGAGGGCAGTGATACAGTCAGCTGAAGTGAAGCGTGATGCCGCAGGTGTGTTGTGTCCTGGGGACTGCCAGGAGGGGTTGGAGGAGCATTTGCAAGCAGCAGGCTTATTGCACCAGCATTTGAGAGGCGTTTCGCGAGGGTTTATGGGATCTGTGCCTATATTACATCCACAGACCAGTCCTTGGAGTACTGGATACCATCCACTACTCCAGCTGTCCCAGTTTTTGTAACTACTTGGCTTCGTCCAGAAGTGGGGAGAGGAGACAACTAGTCTGAGTATGCTTTGGGGTACACGCGTAGCCTGGCACGAGGACGATCAGGATTTGGGGGGCCGGGGAACCGAATTGGGAAATGACCCAAACGGACAAGAAATAGATCCAGGCTAGCCCGGTCAGAGCGCAGCACTTAACCAGCTGTGGCCAGAAACACACTAGCTGCACGCCCGTGGTCTGCATCCAGAGCTGGTTTCAAGGCTTGCAGCGTTAAATGCCTAGCATCTGGGACTGGCCAGTTTGCTCCCTCCTCTGGGATCAACGCACTGACTTTTCTTTCTTCTTTCTCTTACGTCCTCACTGTTTCTTCATCTAGCTTATCTGAATGTGTTTTATCTGTATTTTTACTTTTATGTGCTCTCTCCCCTCCCTTATTGCAGATAATTGAGATTTGACTTTGCCAATGCATTAAATTTTAACCTCCTCCTACTATAGCTCTGCAAAACAGAAGCAGTTGGTTGTGATTAGTTGTCAGAATCACAAAGAGCAACAAAGTTCCGGTAAATAATGTGTCTTCTCAGTTGGAGATGTTCCTGCTGCATTACTCAAATTGAATTAAGGAAAAAAAAAGTGATTGAAGCAAGATGAGCATTTTTCAATGAAATAAGGAGATGCACATAGTTCTTCAGGAGCATACTATGGTTTTAACCCCAGCTTGTGTCTGGAGAAGCCCTTAGAGTCCTACGTGGAATTTCTTGTCGAGCCAATGCTAAGACCCATACCAAATTAATGACCATCACATTCTCTAACTAAAACCCACATGATTCCCTCTTCTGCCTTGTTCATACGTGGGATTTAATATGCCTTTTTGATGTCATAATTTGGTGATGTGACTATCAAGTTTTTTCTTTTCTTGGGTGATGTTCCCTCAAGCTTATGCTAGGTCTTTTCTGCTCTTGTAGAAACAAATCAGAGCTGGGGACACAGACCTTATAGATGGGCACCCTCGATTGTGTTAGGGAGAGCATCACCCGCAGGTCAAGGATGCTGAGCCTTCCCCTCTGGTCAGTGCTGCTGAGACACAACTGGATTGCTGCATCCAGTTCTGTGCTCCCCAGTACAGAAAGGACATTGACATACTGGAGTGAATCCAGTGGTGGGCCATGATGGTGATTAAGGGTCTGGAGCATCTGAGATATGAGAAGAGGCTGTGAGAGCACTGGGACTGTTCCGCTTGGAGAACAGGAGGGTCTTACCAGTATTCATAAGTGCCTACTGTGGGGGGTAGAGAAGACATAGCCGGACTCTTCTCTGCAGTGCCCAGGCACAGGACAAGGGGCCATGGGCACAACTTGAAATGCAGGAAATTTTGCTTAAACATAAGAGGCAATGTTTTTTTTTTTTGTACTGTGGGAGTGGTTGAACACTGGAACCGGTTGACCAGGGAGGGTGTGGAGTCTCCATCCTTGGAGATATGCAAAACCCAACTGGACACAGTGCTGGGCAGCCTGCTCTAGGTGACCCTGTTTTGAGCAGGGGAGTTGGACTAGATGGTCTCCAGAAGTGCCTTCCGACCACAGCAATGCTGCATTTCGAGGAATAGCAACACTTTGAACTACACAGTGGGTTTTGGTTTGTTTTGGATTTTGTTTTTAT